GGAACATAATAGCCTGGAATGTCTACACATTAGCTGCATATGATGGGACCCACAAACATAATGTGAATTAAACACTAACAACAAAGTGTAATGTGAATTATTTTGGTTTGGAATAATTTTGTACAAAATATATTGGTTAACAACATACCCTAAATGGCCATTTAGACATTAGCCGCTATAAAATTTGTTTAGACCTATTACCTTGTATTATAGAAGTATATAATTCCCAAATTTTTAGAGTTCTCTAATGGTTTTTGGATTGTTCAATTTTGTTGTCACATGACACATATAATCCTATATAGCATAAAACATGTATAAAAGTCTTTCTAGACGTAAAAGTCTTTCTAAACAACTTCAATTATGCATTTATATTATTTCCTCAAATTTATCTTTTTTTCTCCAACCAATTACCAGTTTTACACACCTCAAATTATACAAACAATTAACATTTACTAGACACAATACTTTTTAATTTTGTTTTTCTATATCATACAAGTATACAACACAAAATACTTCATAGGAGTCATAATATAATAATCAATATATCATACTTCAATTATTTTTGTGGATTTTCTCCAAGTAGTCAACCCAAAAAGAAGAGAGGGAAACTGAAAAGCACCTTCATGCTTGTGGAATAAAATAATAACCTTCTATTTTTGGAGTTCCTTTCTTTTAGGTCAACCACTATCCCCAAACACACACATATTTTCCTCCACAAAATTCCACACCTTTATTCTCCTTTTATTTTTATTTTTTTTCTCTCACTCTCTCTCTCCCTCTTGATTTCCCATGCCTCTATTCCCTGTTCAAACAAATTCAAAACACAAAAATCCCATCTTTCCCTTCTTAATCAAGAATTCAACCTTGTTTGTTGTGTTCCCTTGTCCAAATCTTTCCCTTCTCATTGTACACACACACACACACACACACATACATCCTCCCCAAATGTAAAAACACCATGCTGCACAATCCTGCCACTACATTGTAATACAATTCTGAAAAACATAACATTTGATTCACCCATGTTTCCTTCATTCTCATTCCCATTCAAATAAAAAAAAAAAAAA